AACAATGAAGTAGACAAGTTGACTTATGATATCACAAGCTACCAGAAGTAGAAAAAGAGCAAATATTTGTATGCATTACTTAGCAGAAGAATGTTTAAATTATAATTTAACTTTTTTATATGCAGAACGATTTTGTAGATTTCTATATCATTTGAAAGTTCTCTCTATTAATATTATTAAAATATAAGGGGATTTTCATTATTTCTTCCTTATTCATTAAATGGTTATCTCCAAGATAGAACCCGGTGTTTATCTGTTTTCGAGGTATTTATCAATATGGTTAATTCCTTTATTTCATACTCTGGATGTTCAAGTTTGTTTGTGAACGATGCAGCCTACTGTAAGTTAATATGTTGATCTGCATTTTAAATCTGTATACGAGTTTTTACGAAATAAGTATAACATACTTCCTATACATGTCCCATAAAGTCATTGTGGAGCCCGTGGAGTATCTGTGAGGTGTCTGCCAATGAAAAAACTGTGGATCGTTGTTTCCCACGAAAGTTGTAAATAGTGTGGGAACTTTAGCATATAAAACGCATCTTTCCCCAATTTGGGAGCTTTGGCATTTATTCGAAATTATTTTGGTGCAAAACGTTTTTATTGATTGTGATTTTACAATTTTATTAAAGAAATCAACATTTATTTGTGTGAAGTTCAACGTTTATTTTGTAACTTAAAACAGTTTTTGATATAAAACACATGTTTATTACATAAATAGATAGTTTAAAAATCTAGGGGTTTTTAGATTAAGAAACCGGTTCTGATTAATAAAACTTTAGAAACGTTTCAAGAGCATTTGTTATTCTTCCCTTATTAATTTTTCAACCATAATGGTATCCTTTCGGACACTCAAATAGCAGACGACGTTTAAAGTAATCACGGAGAGCAGTCAGAAAAGATTATTGTTGTCTACATATGAACTGAGTTTAGTTACATAGAGCAGTCAGAAAGGGTAGGTACCGTCAACATAAAACTGAACTTTGTCACGGAAAGCTGTCACAACAAATAGCCAGGGTCTACAGAAGAACGGAGCACAACCACGGAGAGAAGACTGGGGGAAAGAACATTGCAGTATACAGAGGAACAGACTGGCATACATACAGAGGAGAGCAGTCTGGACGTAAGGCAGCAGCCTACGGAAGACCTGCAGACAGACATTGACAGTCACCTTGAATAGCTTAAGTCTATTATATAGCCTATATCTGAGTCATCTCAGAAAGTAAGCATGTTGGTCATTCATATCCCATAGGGTATCTATTTCAGAAAATATGTGAGTGTCATTACAGGAAGCAAGTACAGATTCGCGGGTATCTGCACACGACTTATCTATCGAAACATTCCTCCCAAATTAAATTCTGCAAATCGTGTAAGATCCGACAACCGAAAACTAAATCCATGTTCGTTTCGCGTATTTGTTCTTTAAAGATATAAGAATAAAATATTATTCTTGAGTACTTTATTACTAAATCTTTGGTAATCTTTAGTAATCCTAAACTTATCTTCAAATTTAAGGGGTGTCCGTGGCCGAGTTATTAAGGTCGATCGTTACTCTCAAACCACTTGCCCCATAGCAATGTGGGTTCCAATCGCGACATGGACTTTGGATTATTTCATCTGAGGAAGTTATTCAGCTAGCTTACTGTGCTTTTACTCAGTTGCCTGTTCGTGCCTGAAATGATGGTAGGAAAAGCAACTGAGGTCTTCCTCCACCAGTAGAGCTGGAACATCGTCATTTGACATATAAGTTTCGGTCTGACGTTAACCCATAACCAGATATACACGCCTCTCTACGCCCTTTTCATCCCCCTTTTTGTTGTCTCAATTGGCCCCCAACACTTTTTTGTTTGAGAAATGTTGTTTAAAAATGACCACTTTTTCGGCGCGGCCCCCTATACAAAAGACACATCAAGGTCTTGCCAGAAGGGGGAGGTGCCCCTTCTGTTTGGGGCTTTTAAGGGGGCACCAACAGATTTTTGGACTTGTAAGAGGTTAAACATGACCCCAGGTCGATCAAAAGGTAACGTGTAGTCAACGTTGAAAAGCCTTTGACTCTATCTCAATCCATTTAGAAGTTGCAGCACTTTGAAATCAATTTTGATGGAAAAAAAACCGCAAAATAGTTATGTTTGGCAATTATGAGATGTCCCTCGTTGCCATGATAACGCGAAGTTTAAGACTGAAGTTGTTACAAAGGCAATGGTCCAGCCAACATTTGTGCCAAGTTTGATTAGTATTAAAGCAGTCCTGTAAGAAAATCTTTCTTTAATGGTAGACTAAATGTATAAATTCCTCATGTCCCATTCTTATGTTATCAGTTTAGTTTATTTATAGACCAAATGTTTTATGCTCCTCTGATCAAAAAACATGTCAACTGTTTGCATTCATATAATTCATATTTGTTCATAACCTACAACACTAAAAACTATGCTTAATCAATTCTTTTGTTACAAAACTTGCAATATAACATTGTCTTCATAAAAAAGAAGATTAAGTTAAGTCCTATTCGCCTTCCTCATAAATTCATTTTGGAGTCAAACATTTCTCACTTTATTAGCTTATTTTCCATAGGCTTCAACATATCTACATAACCAAACAAACTAACATTTTAAGTGTTTGTTGAAATCAAATTCTTTTTGTCTTTTGTTTTTATATTTAATGCAACGGATTTAACTGGCATATTAACAGAGGAGCGCGATTTTTGAAATAAAGTGTTAACACTGTTATGATGAAATTTTCTGTTTAGGAATCTGAAGGTTAATTTATAAGGTAAAGTGAAAAAGCTGACTACAGAACTATGCATGTTATCCCTTATAAAATATTTAAATTAAGAACTATCTAACATTTACTTGTTTACACACATCCTCCAAATGAAAAATTTAATATAGTTTTAAAAATAAATCTCTTAAAATTACACTTTTTAGATTGTTGGGGACATTAATTTAGATAATAATAAAACAATCATATACTTTTAGATCAGAAACACCATGCACATACCTGCATAGAAGGGAACCAGTATGAACCAGCAATGGATGCGGTAATGTTGACATTTTATACTTTATTATATACACCGCGGCACAGAATTGTAATAAAGCCATTATTTAAAAACAACGATATTAATCTTGTGTAAAAACACTTTCACGTGACGTTATATGCATTATATATAAACATAGCGTTAAAGTGCACTTATGTTAGCGTTACAATAAGGAGCGTCACAGAATATTATATTTGTGTAGATTCAAAACTTAATTTATTGAACTTGTTGAATAAAACGATATAATGCTCGCCAGATTAATATGATTTATGTTCAACTCGTTCAATAAATCTAGTAAAAAAACTACACTCATTGAATATCCTCTATTTATTCCGGGTTTGTAAAGCATTTACATTAATTTGTTATTTTTAATCTGTTCAAAAATTTTGCCTTTTAGCTTTTAAAGTATATTCTTTATTATATTTTGTACTCTTTTTTTCTACAGTGGCACAAAGGTGACATGTGTGTGTTTTTATTTATCTTGTGCGCACGAGATACTATGTTGTGGCCGCAAGTTACTGTGTCGTGGCCACGAGATAGTTAAGTCGTGGGAACGAGATACTATGTCGTTGCCACGAGTAACTAAGTCGTGGCCACGAGATAATAAAGTCGTGGCCAGGAGATACTATGTCGTGGCCACGAGAGACTATATCATGGCCACGAGATACTCAGTTGTGGGCGCGATATAGTTAAGTCGTGGCAACGAGTTACTATGTCGTGGCCACGAGTTACTAAGTCGTGGGCACGAGATTATTAAGTCGTCGGTACGAGATACTATGTCGTGGCTACGAGTTACTAAGTCGTGGCCACGAGATAGTTGAGTCATGGCCACGAGATAAATAACCAATCTGATATCACTATTAACATGAATTGTCCTAATTAACTATACATGTGCTTTACTACAAGGATGCCTCTACTTCAACTGCCTGTTAAAAAGTCTTTCATACAAGTTATTTCTTTGTCACTGTTTTTATTTTTAGCGTCATTGTGACCCTGATTTTGGACCCAATAGCACGTGTCATCTACTGATAAGGTGCAATGATCTTTCTAGGTTATAAAAAACATGGCTTGTTCCTTCTAAATCATTCATTAGACAAGGATACAAGGATTTTACATGAAGTTCCATGTTAACCTTGACCTCAAACATCCTTATATGTTATCTACTCTCCATGGGCAATGTCTCTACCAAATAAAACAAACTAGGGCTAATTCCTTCTTAAGTTATCGTATAAACAAGGTTAACATTACGTTGTTCATACAAACTGACCAATTCTATCATAGAATTGTCTCCAAAATGAGCTATAACTTAGTTAAAATTAATGTCTGATTTATTAGCCTTAGAAGGTACTTTCTAATATGGTTCTAAAGACATGTTAAGTTAAAAGAGAACACTTCAGTATTTTAAAAAATTAATGTAGCATGTAAAACTTTAAACATAATTGTTTTAAGTTTAAAAAAATCATAGTGTAATCTGATTGGTTAATTATCTCGTGCGCACGACTGAGTTATCTCGTTGGCCACGACCTAGAAACTCGTGGCCACGATATAGTATCTCGTGGCCACGACTTAATCATCTCGTGACCACAGCTTTGTATCTTGTGGCCACGACATAGTATCTCGTGGCCACGACATAGTATCTTGTTCCCACGACTTTTCTATCTCGTGGCCACGACTTAGTTACTCGTGGCCACGGTATAGTATCTCGTAGCCACGACATAGTATCTCGGGGTCACGACTTAATTATCTCGTGTCCACGACTTACTAACTTGTGGCCACGACTTAGTACGAGGGTTGTCCAAAAATTTGTGCACTGCAGTTATTGTTAAAAAACATGAATTATACATCACTTGAAGGGGAAATTTGTCTTTTAAAGAAAACAAAAGAAAAAACTGTGTGACCGGCGTGTCGTGAAAAAGAATCGTCATACAGTTACCTTAGTAACGTAATAACTGTGCACAACAAAAAAATGGGTAAGTTCATTACTGTGATTGTATTAATCGTTTGTTGCTTGTAAAGTGGCATTTGCTTTTCATGTAATATTTTTTCTTTACTGTCAATAGAGGAATGATTGATGCAAAGTATTTTGTAGCTTTTATTGTTCTTATGCAACGTACATGTAACATATTCCACCAGTGCAAGAATATATTGGACAATCCTCATCACATGCGCCGGCATTACGGGCGGACGTATGCCTGATCGGTTGTCATCGTCTACCGACACTCGCCCCTCTTCAGAGCGTTTGTGCAATTTAAAACCAGCCTTAGTGACACTGAACTGGTCCCGCTTGCCCTTTTAAATTCTTTGTAGGTATATGTCGGTGTTTTACAAATACTTTCGCAAAATTTAATGATCGTCCATATTTCCAGACGTTTAGCCCAGACATTTTCACGTAATGACAGTATTGACGACCACACAGAAATGTTTGTTTACGACCGTTAAAATAAAGCAAATGACGTCATATTTTTAGTAACGTCAGGAATACGTACATAAACATTTCCCCGAATTTGACGTTTATATGTAATGTTTAAAGGATACTGCGATGCATCAAAGAAATGAACTAACCCAATTTTGTCGGTTACACGGCTTTTTCTTTTATTTTTTTGAGACAGAAAACAAGTGATATATAATTCATGGTTTTTATCAATAACTTTCTCGACAATAACTGCAGTGCACGAATTTGTTATGGAAAACCTTGTGTCTCGTCCAAACGACACAGTATCTCGTTCCCACGACTTAACTATCTCGTGGCCACGATTTAGTAACTCGTGGCCACGATTAGTAACTCGTGGCCACGACATAGTATCTCGTGCGCACGAGATAAATAAAAACACACACATGTCACATTTGTGCCACCGTAATTTTCTGCTATATTTATAAAGATCTGTTTCATTGTTTATTTGGAAACGCGCTATGAGTTTATGTAATTCATCTTATTAAACTTCCATTTTTTGTTCGTTTATTAGTCGAAATGTGGTATAATTTGTCTGATTTAGGAAACTGTTTTATTGTACCAACATCTATTTACATATAATATAGATAGATGATTGTCGCTGGTGTAATGTTTTTCTTTTCTTGTGCCAGTTTTACTATGAATATAATTATAATGTTAAGTTTAACATTTTTAATGTGTATTATTATATAGAGTAAGGACGAAATTCCAAGAGGGCAGCAGTTGTATTTAAAGTACAATTCATTATTTAATAAAGCTGTGCCGTTAACAATCAAAGCCTATATAAGACATATTGTACAAAAAAGAGAAAAATCTCTTAATACTATTCTTACAAACAGAAAAGAGGACATTAAAACGTTTTACAGTGATTTGTACAAGGTACTGTTTAATGATAACAATGACAATTTTGATGCGCAAATAGAGTCGTGGGGATTATCAACTCTCTGTGGTGTTGCTTTTGCACTAACTGACAATTCACAGATTGATTGTATAAAATGCATCTTAGACCAAATACTCGATCTTGAAAACTATGCAGAGAAAAATTATATGGACTATGATATCTTCGCGCATAAATGGAAAGGTTTAACGAAGTCATTACTCACACTTTGCACAGATACAGACGCCAACCTTAAGTGCAAAACTTTGATTTATTCATTTGACGAGTCAAAGGAAATTCAGGTCAGCAAAGAACTTCAAATCGTATCTGAATATGATGTACATACAGAATGTAAATCAGAAAGTAACATGCTTAGTGATGTGGGTGAGTACTTTTATGATAGACATTTCAAAGATAAATGTGTCATGTTGGTTAGTTAAAAACAGCTCGTGCTTTCATAAAAATGATTCGTAAATTCACCTGCTGCTTTGTTGATAATAAGTAAGCGTAATATTCTGAATGTCAACCTATAATATCATAACTGAACTTGTTACCCAGTGGTTATCTTTACCTGTCTACGTCCAGCGGTAGACTGCGCGACAAGATATTGTGCTATTTTCGTGTCTTGGCAATATCTCGCCTCTACGTACAAAATAAAAAGTACCTTTTTCTGTGGTGCAATTTGCGCCGGGATTATGAGCGCAAGATTTGGACCGTCTAAAATCGTATTAGAACTCATATTTGAATAAATTTGTTACGATACCTTTAAAGATTATTCATTTCTACATCAATTTCATGTTTTTTTTGTGAAAATATTCCTAACATAACGATTCTAATAGAAAAGTAAACACATGCAACATCAAAATAAAGACATCGCCGCTACTGTCACGTGACAAATACACGGTTGATAACTACACCGGTGTGTATGCGGTACTGCGTTACTGAGAAACGACGAAACACTTAGTAAAATATCAAGTTTAATGTTTAATGTAAGACATTTATTAATTCAAAAATTATTAATTATGAAAGGATGAAAATATTATTTTATTGGAGCAGATGCACAACTTATTCGTTATTGTCAGAGCGTTCTTAGGAATATCAGAATCATCATTATCTTTTTAGAAAAGCTACTCTGTAAATGGACTCCTCACTAAACCGTTTCTTGTTGATAAAAACATTTTGTTCAGCTTTCCAAGTAAATATAAGACATGGGACCTATTGGTATCTATAGGATTTTTTTCCACGATTATGATGAAAATAGGGATATGTTATTAAGAGCAGAATCGTGAGGTTTATTTGTTTAAAGAGCAACGTACGAATTCCTAGTGCCTTAGCGTTTACGAGAAGACACCATTCTAAGGAATTTGACAGTCTGTTATTTATAATCAGGTTGATTGACTATTAAACGATACTTTCAATGTTCAAAATAATTTTTATCAATAATAAAACGAATAAATGTCAAATGCGGTGCCTCATCATTATACATATATGTGCGAAAACAACATTCCATGTACATTTCTTTTATTTTTTTATTTTTAATTTCTTATCCACGCAGGTCCATAATTCTGGATAGTTTCCTCCAAAAAGCTTTCGGAAGATGTTTATAGAAAGAAAAGCACGCACGCACCAACACCAACACACACACACGTCTGTCTGAAAATTGTTTTGAAATGATGGTGGTAGCAGGGAAAAAATACTCGGAAATTTATTTCATGGGTGCCCGCTTCATTTTTTGTTGCTTTTTGTTTTGCAAAAGACTTTCATAATGTTGGTATGCAGCAAAGATTTATTCCATACATTTCACTTTTATGACGTCTAAGAAATTATTTCCTTTTATAAAATACATGCATGGCGAAGTGCGATTTGAAGAATCAAGGCGGTTATTTTACAATATTACATAAACAAAACACTGCGCCGCTAATTTCTTTCACAGACGGGGTGTGGAGTTCAAAACGCCTTTAAAATCCAAATAAAATGTATATTTGTCAATCCCAGCACATGTACTCACTACTGATCATACATATCGAAACACTTAATATAAGCCGTTTTGAAAAAAAATCAATTTCAACGTAATGCACAGGATAAAAATGTTCACCGGAAAAAAATCCGCACACCTACCGTAAAAAACACCATGTATTTTATTCCGTTTCCAATATTTTCTTATAGTCCTTTGGCCCATGGACACAGAAGATATAATTCTTCACCATGATGGTCAATTTTAAACTTCAACGTCAATATAAACAACGCAACAGGCGAAATAAACATCGAGATTATCGCCGTTTTCCTCCATTTACAAAAACTTCGAAAAATTCAAACGTGACTCACCAGCTTTTTATTTGGATTGTAAAGGCGATTTGAGCTCCACACCCCAAGTGTCTGTGATTTCTTTAATTCTTGTCCAATCTTATAAGATTTAATGGTTATGCAACACGTTTACTCATTTTAAACAATAATATGATACAGATTGTTACTTTCCCAAACATATAAGGTGTTGCGTCGGAAAACGAACTTATAAAATCGGTAAGAAATCACGGCGCCTCTTCAGTTCTTTTTTTTTAATACAGTTTTTTATATAGAACGAAAATTAAGATTTTAACCCTCTAGTAAATTTAGATATAAAACCAGAAAATAGTTCCTAAAAATTAAATGTCACAACTCAAAACTTAAAAAGTTGGCATATCTTGCGTAAATTCAGAGCGGGAAATGTACTGAGGAAACTCGGGACCGTAACTCATTTAAATTCTTACCACCGTTTAAACAATTTTCATAAATGTATTAAAGAAAGAAATTTAAGCATAAGATAATCGTCTTTAAAATAAATCATCAAGTATAGTTATAATTATAAATTGAAAAATAAATACATGTAATTACAATCTAAAAATAACTTTTCTTTTCAATTTGGACCGTGTCAGCATGGAAAACTGCTTATTAACTGTTTCTGGAAAGGAATCACGTCTCCAACTTAAATACTTATCTATTAATCAAATTTATTTATTTCAAACTTAATCTTATAAATTTTAAGATGTCACAAAGAAATTAAGTAAGGTAGAAACAGGACTGCGCATCAATTATTAATAGTGTCCACATTTCCGACGTGTATATTGGCCAGCGTACCGGTGTCTGCGTTGAGGAATAGTTGACACATTTTAAAAATAAATATTAGGTTGAATATATTTTCTATACCGGGACAATAACTTTTCTGGAACATCGTTTAAACAACATCCAATATACAGGCTATTACGGCATGCTATGATAACAGTCTTTTATTACATGGATAAATGGTACATGTACACAGGTTCTTTCAGTTACAGACAAACGAAAAATGGGCGCTCGGAGTAACGAGTTTTACTTTTCTGAAATCTGTTGAGGAATGAAAAATTAATGCAAGAATTTACCATTTGAATTCAAAAAACTTTCATAGCGTAATGCACGTTTGAAAAACAAAACTTTCCTAGGCAATGAGTTGCTGTTTTTAATACGCAGCAAGTTGTGACTAACATAATTATACTAAACAGAGTGTTGACGGTATAAATTTTAATGAAATACAGTATTTGTTTATCCTTTAATAAACATGTTTTTAAAAAAGAGGACTAAATTAAAAGTTTCTCCGCATCATTTTAAAGATTTCAATCAATTAGAAAAATATTTAAAGATTATTTCCTGGAGATTTATTTTAATGTAGCAATAAATATAATTAATAACATTTTTTAGCCTCGCAAAAAAATGACAACATTCACGCACGGTACCGAACAATATCGATTTTTAGCGTACATGTTACATTACTGTAGCAACATCACAATATGGCGGCGTTGGTACACAAATTAGACGGTGAAATGAAACTAACGTGGTATACTTTCTTATTAGTTGATAGTCTGGCACTTTATGTGCTGTTAATTCCTTAAAATTGCATTGTTGAATAAATTCTTAGTTTAAATTGTCTGCATTTTCACATTTACATCGAAATCCACGTTTCACCACAGAAAGGTCTCCTTTTGGTTTTGACGTCAAAGCGAGATTCTGCCCCAGAACGAAAATATCTCAGAATCAAGCTTTGGCACGTCAATATGTTATAATATATTTTGATTACGTCCAGCGGATAATATACATAACAAGTGGTTATATTGTCCCTTATATTCAGTAAGTACTTGTGTAAGGAATATATATAAAAAAAAAAACAAAAAAAAACGAAATTTGATGATAAGAATATTCAGAAAACAGTGTTTTTGAAGAAGCGCAGAAAAATGAATTCGTAAATAAAATAACGTCAGACGTTCAACGGCTACACTTACGCTGCGCAATAATTATAATTCAAGTATAATAGAGTCATCATAGCAGATGTGTTTAATTATTGCACGTTTGAATTGAGAATAATACCATAATGAACAAAACGCAATTAGGCATAATATGCACATTCGTAGTTAAAAACTGTTCTTGATGAAGTCATACATTTTTATTTGTGCGTGTTTCAGTTGTTCACAGTAAATACGGCATAGCATTCAATGTGTTTAAAATAGAGAAAATAAGAATCCCTCAAGAAAGTCCAACACAACATAATTGAAAATGGTGCAGCCTCGGTTTGATTGAGCCTGTTCATTGACGGTACTGGAAAGTGCAATCTACCGTTCACGCCCCGTAGCACCGGCTTAAGTAGAATTCAACATTTAAACAGAAGATGGTAAAATTTTGAATTTAGAAACATCTGCAGATGTGTAAACAATTAGATTTCGAGGAATTTATTTCATTATTATAAGTCTTATAAACATCACTGTTAAGTTCGATTGCTAGATATTAGCAGTATTGATATCATATCTGAGTGTCATTACAGCATAAAGGGAAGCAAGTACAGATTCGCGAGTATCTTCACACGACTTATCTATCGAAAGTGGGAGGTGTCATAACATTCCTCCCAAATAAAATTCTGCTAATCGTGTAAGATCGGACAACCGGAAACTAATTCCATGTTCTTTTCGCGCATTTAATCTTTAAAGATATACGAATAAAATATTAATATTAATCTTGAGTACTTTATTACTAAATCTTTGGTAATCTTTAGTTATCTTAAAACTAATCTTTAAATTTAACGGGTGTCCGTGGCCGTGTTATTAAGGTCGTTCGTTGACTGTACTGACTAGAATACACTTAAACTGTTTATATAATATTTAATCAAATTTGTCAATGCGTTTCCCCTAACAATTACATCTTGAAACAATCTCTTGAAAATGACTTGAAACAACAGGAAACGATATACTGAAAATAAACAAAGAAATACACTAAATATCCATGTCATAAACCAACACATTAAAATACAGTGATGTACATTTGTCAAGGAAAGATAACTCTGTTAAGCATATTCCAAAAATTGTAAGATTTGCTTCCCTTGGAAATAATCTCTTAACATGGAAATCACCTACATAATGTATCTAGCCAAAATAAATTACTTAAAACTGCATAAAAGAATGCCTAGCAACTAGAAATATCGATAAATAAACAGAAATTACTCTATCAAACCTTTTGAGATGCTTAACATTTTTCGTAATGCAAAACGCAATGGGTGGGGTAATAGAAATCCCCGCAAAGGCAATAATTAGCCTAAATACATGTAGTGAACAATGCAAAAAATAGAAAACAACTATATTTACCAAATTAAGATTGTCCCAGGGAATTCAGTACATGTAAATGGCTAGAAACAACGAAATTTTTCTTCAAAAAACAAGACCCATGCTCTTTTACTAAAAAACTTTTACGACAACAAAAAATATCGCTGTCATCTGTTTTAACAACTCTATATACGTAGGTGGCACCTACATCCCAGCCCCCTAATTGTTTAACAATTACAATCCTAACGTGCAAAACTTGATATAAAAAATTTTGACATCAAAAAACAGTAGTGAAATGATTGCTAAATTAAATTCTTACAAAAATAACGATTTTACAGCATTTTAAGCAAATGTACATGCTATAATATGGCGTCTTAAAATGAAATAACATACATAAAATTCAAGATAATGTATGAAGTATGTTTTATCAAGAATCTTAATCAGTATCATAATATGAAATAATTATTACGATATGAGTCTTTAAAGCAAAATACTGAATATTCAACAGATAGCACAAGTCTATATAAATGTACACAGTTATGGCTTAAGCTTTAGCCACGCATAGTTAAGAATTGTCACTCTTCCATTTCAAGGAGCAAACACAACTTGTCAATAGGACGGTCCAGATATGTACCATGGGCAGTTTTAACCCTAACTCGTCTAACAAACCCTAGTCTGTCAGGCATAGCTGCCACAACCCTGCCCAAAGGCCATGAGCCTCTCGGAGCGTTCGAATCCACAATTAGCACAATATCCCCCTCTTTAAAGTTTCTTTTTCTATTATACCATTTTGCTCTCTCTTGAAGGAGTGATAAGTATTCGTTGGTCCAGCGGGACCAGAACAAGTTAGCCATGTATTGCACTTGACGCCAACGACGTCTACAGTAATTATCAGTTTTCACAAATACACCGGGTGGTAAGTTTGGATTGCGCTTCAACAACAAAAGATGATTTGGTGTCAAAGCTTCAAGATCATTATGATGATCAGAATTTCTACTTATTGGTCTACTGTTAATGATTGATTCAATTTCACACATTAATGTATGCAAACCTTCGTCAGATAAGGTCTGCTGTTTAAGAACACTTTTCAAAATTTGTCGTACCGATCTAATCATTCTTTCCCATACTCCACCATGATGAGATCCTGCAGGCGGATTGAACTTCCAGTCAATGTCCTTTTGCCGTAACATATCCTGAATAAGATTTACGTTCCATTCTTGAATTGAAGCTTTAAGCTCCCTTTCCGCACCAACAAAATTACTACCATTGTCAGACCTGATAATAGTAACTTGACCACGACGCGCGATAAAACGTCTTAATGCATTTATATAGGAATCAGTATCGAGCGAAGCAGCCACTTCAAGATGAATAGCTCGACTGGTCAAACATGTAAATAATACGCCGTACCTTTTCACTAAACTTCGGCCTTGTTTAACTTCAAATGGTCCAAAATAGTCAACACCAACCCGAGTAAATGGTGGTTCATCAGGAGTAACCCTGTCTCTAGGCAAATTCGACATCTTTTGTTCTCCGACACTTGCATTTTGACGCCGACAAACTACACATTTTGAAATCACCTTCCTCACCGCGGATGGCCCATTTATAAGCCAGTACTTTTCACGCAGGACTGATAATGTATGATTTCGTCCAACATGATTCAAACGTTCATGAATTTCTCTTAAAATCAGTTTAGACACTTCATAATTTTTAGGTAGAATGACTGGATGTTTACGTTCTTCAGGCATTCCGGAGTCTTGTAAGCGGCCTCCAACGCGTAAAAGCCCATCTTCCATAACAGGGTCTAAATTTCGTATGACACTGTTTCGCTTTAATCTACATGTAGATTCATTGTTTGTCAGTGTTTCAATTTCTTCCGGAAAGGCACATTTCTGGGTGTAACATAAAATACTCATTTCCGCATGCTTCAAATCATCAACCGTTACATATGGTTTCTTTTCACTAATGCTAGGAACTGCAACACTAACCCCCTTTGCCTTAGCTCTGTGAAGAAGTTTTTTGCGAATCTTTAAGATCCATGCTACAGCCCTTTTCAGTTTATACCATGACGAGAAATATGACATCAGTTTATCGAGCACTTCACGTGCAGCTGGTGACAGTACGTTGTCAGCGCGATATTTCACAAAATTAACCTTTTTTACTTCTGGATCGTCATTTGATATCGTTTGGTTCACGCGATCTGCGGGCCATTCACTTTCATCTTTCCATAGGAAGTCTGGTGCTATGATCCAGTTTTTGTTTAACTCGTCTACCATTATGCCCCTGGAGGCGATATCGCCAGGATTTATCTTGGTTGGAATATAACGCCATTGCTCCGGATTTGAACCATCATGAATCACAGAAAGTCTGTTAGCCACAAAGGTCTGGAACCTTGCAGAATTGTTTTCAATATACCGTAGTACAGCCATACTATCTGTCCAAAACACAGATTCGTCTAATTTAATGTCAATTTCTGACTTTAACATCTTGTCAGTTCGCACCGCGACTGTTGCTGCCGTAAGCTCCAATCTAGGTACTGTTATTTGCTTCATTGGAGCAACGCGAGATTTGCCAATCACAAAGGCACAGTGAACACGATTATCTTTATTGATTAATCTTATGTAACTAACAATACCGTAGCCAATCTCACTAGCATCCGAGAAGTGATGCAAAGTAGCCGACTTTACCTCACCGAAACCTTCTGGTTTTAGGCATCTAGCCACTGAGAATTCGGACAATTTGTACATGTCATTGATCCAGAGAGCCCATCTTTTCGCTAGTTCATCAGGAACTGGGTCGTCCCAGCCTAGATTCGATGCACAGAGAACCTTGAGTATGTTTTTGGCATGTAACATTAACGGAGCCAGAAAGCCAAGCGGATCATATACGGAACTTAGCATCGAGAGCATGCCGCGTCGCGTTAATGGTTTGTTCTTAATGTCAATTTTGAAACAGAACTTGTCAGATTCTACACACCACTGAATACCTAATGCGCGATCAATTGGCAAAGTATCATAGTTCAGATCCAGATCAACTGCTCTATCTCTACATGGAATGGTTGACATCACGTCACGACTCGAGGATAGCCATTTATGAATACGAAAACCTCCCTTTAGTAAAACTTGTTGAAGATCATTTACCAAAGATTTCGCAACTTCAACATTTGGCACTGACTTGAGGCAATCATCAACATAGAAATTTCTTAGTATTGTCTTAGTCACTTCGTTGTCATGGTTACTACCGTGATTGACCGCGGTTTCCCTCAAAGCATAATTGGCACAACTCGGGGAAGATTTAGCCCCAAATAAATGAACAGCCATCTGGTACTCGACAACTTTCTTGTTTACGTCCCCATCTTCGAACCATAGAAATTTCAAGAAGCTTGCATCACTTTGATTAACGCGAACCTGGTAAAACATGCTTTCGATGTCACCCATAATAGCAACTTCTTCCTGACGAAATCGTAGTAAAGTACCCACGAGTGTATTAGTCAAATTGGGTCCCTGTAATAGCTCGTCATTTAGAGATGTTCCTTGATAGCGCGCCGAACAATCGAAAACAACCCTTAACTTATCTTTCTTTGGATGACGGACCGGGTGATGTGGCAAATACCACTCTCTGCCTGGTTGATCTATGTTATTTTCAGGGACTGGCTGAGCATAACCCTTTTCAATGACTTTGTCCATGAATTCACGATATTCACCGTAAAGCTTACTGTCCCCTTCAAAGCGATTTTTCAAAAGTGCAAGACGATGGTATGCAACTTTCTTGTTATTTGGCATTTGTATGTCCTTAGACTTGAACGGCAAGTTTATTACATAGTGTCCATTTTCTAACTTGGCAGACCCTGCCACTATATCTAGAAACTGTTTATCTTCTCGCGAATGCTCCTGGACATCGTCTATGATTCGTTCACTAAAATCTAAATTAAAGTTATCTCTCACTTGCTGGTCTAGACTTGTCTGAACAAAGTTACATGACACTGAGAATGCATTTGAACATTCAAGATCATTATCACCACAGTTTATAGGACCATAAATTGCCCAACCAAAAATTGTTTTCATCGCAAACGGGCTATTGTCAACACTAGGAACGACATCCCATGGTTCTAACGCTCTCGGTACATCAACACCGATCAGGATTTCAACTTCGGAATCGATTTGGTCTAACTTAATATCTTTCAAATGAGTCCATTGTTCGAGTTCTGCGTTTGTTATCCTATCTCTCGACGATACGGGTAAACTTGGCTGTGAATACACTTTCGGTAAATCAATGACCGTGGACCCATCTAAGGACCAAATTTCTAAACCTGTAACAGCGAGACAGTTATGAGTTTGTTTTTCAGTGATTGTTTGAATTGTAACTTTCCGCCCTTTGCCAGTGACATTTAATTTATCAAGCAAATTTTCTGCACAAAATGTAGAAGTGCTACCCGTGTCAAGAAACGCATATGATTCTACAACGATATTGCTGTCCTTAGATTTTATCTTAACAGGCACAATGGGCAACACTTGTCGATATCCAGCCCCCATAGCCGTAGCCCCCGAGGTTGTTGTGACTGTTGGTTCTTGGGCATTTGATACTGGGCGCGGATCAACGTGTAATATAGATGGGTGGGTCCCACTGCAATGACTGCATGTTAGTTTTTTCCGACATACCGATTTTTGATGTCCCCTCCGTAAGCAACCGTAGCACAAACCCTTTGACTTCAGAAAGTCATATCTTTCCTTAAGTGGTTTATTATTCAGTCCCGTACACGAACTTATCCAGTGATCCCTTTCACAGAAGTCGCATTTTGGTGTCGGACTAGAATTTATTTGTGTATTTGTTCCTAATGCCTTTCGCTGAAGCGGACGATGTTTGTTACCTGCAGCACCACTGGTACCTTGTTGAGACATTACGGACTTCCCGTATAGAGGGTCATTTGCCTTTTTGGCCTCTCTGCGAACAAAGTTTACTAAGTTTTCAAACTTGACTGCTTTACTATTTTCTTTTAAGTTGTAAACTGTATTTCTCCACCTCTCTTGTAATGAATACGGTAATTTTTTCACAATTGACTTAATGTTTTCTGGATATTCAAGTACACGTGCAGCATCTACGTTTTCAATTGCATACTGACACTCCATTAAAAATATGCTGTACGAGTCCAGTGCCTTCGGATCGTCCTTTACAATAGGCCATTCTAAAGCCTTTTTAACGTAACTATTGGCAACAATGTCAGGGTCTCCATAGCGATCCTCAAATTCTTTCATGGTAGCATTATATCCCACTCTTGCGTTTAGATGTGAATATCCCAAGGCTATCTTATAAGCTTCACCTGTAGTAAACTGGAGTAAGTAGTTCATTTTTTCATCATACGAGTCAGTGTTTTTATTCACTTTCGCATCATATTGTCTGACGAATCGTTTATACTCCATTGGATTTCCCGTGAACTTTATAATTTCTACTTTAGGCTTGTTCAGTTCCTGCGTCATTTTAAGAAGCCCATTTTCAGATTCATGCACAATTTTGATTGGACTTTCAGGAAGTACATATTTTTCCTTTTGCCTTGTAACTTTAATGTCATGCTCAACTTCATCGTCATAAAGCATACTCTTTTCAAGATCTTCTATAACCTTTGATTTTGCGTCACTAACGCGTATTTCAGTTTTTAATTTCAACCGTTCTTCCTTGAACTTTAACTTAAGTTTTTCTTCTTCTAACTTTTCCTCTTCTTCTAAGGCAGCTTGACGCTCTAATATTTCAGCCTTTCTTGTCGATTCGCGCAATTTTGAAGAGGATAATGCCGACATATTGCTTCTGCCGCTCCTTCCAGAAAAATGTGAAATTCGGGATCTCGTGTCATCTGGTTTATTATTTGAGAACCAAGAACATATAGACAGTTTAATATTTTCAAATCTGTCCCTTTCGTGCTTCAGTTGACTCTGATCTATTTTAATCGCATCAGGTGACAATAATGCCTGGTAACTAGTGTTAATTTCTAGGAACTTTTCATACAAGTTCAGCCACTTGGAATGTTTGTCTTTCACAAAATTTACATCTGCCGATTTCGCGGTTTCTAAAACTTTCTGTAATGTTTCACTTTCTGCTAGTAATTCCAACAGAATGTCTTTTCGGCGGTTTGATAGTTCATGATACATAGAGGGTAACGACAAATGTCCTCTATTAGCCTCTTCTTCAACTGGATCTTCCTCTCCGGATAACATTCTGCTCTTAATTTGTATATTGATGTACTGACTAGAATACGCTTAAACTGTTTATATAATATTTAATCAAATTTGTCAATGCGTTTCCCCTAACAATTACATCTTGAAACAATCTCTTGAAAATGACTTGAAACAACAGGAAACGATATACTGAAAATAAACAAAGAAATACACTAAATTTCCATGTCATAAACCAACACATTAAAATACAGTGATGTACATTTGTCAAGGAAAGATAACTCTGTTAAGCATATTCCAAAAATTGTAAGATTTGCTTCCCTTGGAAATAATCTCTTAACATGGAAATCACCTACATAATGTATCTAGCCAAAATAAATTACTTAAAACTGCATAAAAGAATGCCTAGCAACTAGAAATATCGATAAATAAACAGAAATTACTCTATCAAACCTTTTGAGATGCTTAACATTTTTCGTAATGCAAAACGCAATGGGTGGGGTAATAGAAATCCCCGCAAAGGCAATAATTAGCCTAAATACATGTAGTGAACAATGCAAAAAATAGAAAACAACTATATTTACCAAATTAAGATTGTCCATTATAAATTCAGTACATGTAAATAACTAGAAACAACGAAATTTTTCTTCAAAAAACAAGACCCATGCTCTTTTACTAAAAAACTTTTACGACAACAAAAAATATCGCTGTCATCTGTTTTAACAACTCTATATACGTAGGTGGCACCTACATTGACTTCAAACCACTTGCCCATTACCAATGTGGGTTCGAATCGAGACATGGACTTTAGATTATTTCATCTGAGGAAGTTATCCAGCTAGCTTACTGTGCTTGTTTGTGCCTGAAATTATGGACGTACAGGCAACTGAAGTTTTTCTCCACCGGCAAAGCTGTAACGTCGCCATGTGTATCCGTCTGACGTAAAACCAATTCAAACAAACAGAACTTCAATCTCTAGTACTTTAATCATTGACCATGCAATAACGACAGAAGCCCTTATGTAAGCGTCCTGTAAGAAAATCTTTTTTAATAGAAAACGAAATGTGTTAATTCCTCATGTCCCATTCTCATGTTATCAGTATAGTTTATTTATAGACCAAATGTTTTATGCTCCTCTGATGAAAAAACATGTCAACTTTTTGCATTCATATAATTCACATTTGCTTATAACTTACAATACTATAAACTATGCTTAATCAATTCATTTGTTACAAAAATATAACTTGCAATATAACATTGTCTATAGTTAAGTCCTATTCGCCTCCCTCATAAATTCATTTTGGAGTCAAACATTTCTCACTTAGCTTATTTTCCATAGGCTTCACCATATCTACATAACCAAACAAACTAACATTTTAAGCGTTTGTTGAAATCAAATTCTTTTTGTCTTTCGTTTTTATATTTTATGCAACGGATTTAACTGGAATATTAACAGAGGAGCGCGATTTTTGAAATAAAGTGTTAACACTGTTATGGTGAAATTTTCTGTTTAGGAATCTGAAGGTTAATTTATAAGGTAAAGTGAAAAAGCTGACTACAGAACTATGCATGTTATCCCTTATAAAATATTTAAATTAAGAACCATCTTACATTTACTTGTTTACACACATCCTCCCAATGAAAACTTTAATATAGTTTTAAAAATAAATCTCTTAAAAGTACACTGTTTTGAGTGTTGGAGACATTAATTTAGATAATAATAAAACAATCATATACTTTTAGATCAGAAACAGCATACACATACCTGCATAGAAGGGAACCAGTGTGAACCAGCAATGGAGGCGGTAATGTTGACATTTTATATTTTATCATATACACCGCGGCACATAATTGTAATAAAGCCATGATTCTTTAATAAAAACGATATATCCAAATCGGTGATTTTATCGCTTGATAACATCACTGTTTGTCATTCGGATGCGCATCATTATATCACTCGGAAGCCCTACGCCCCCGTGATATAATTCGTCGCATCCGAACTCCAAACAGTGGTGTTATTAAGCAATAAAATAACTGTTTGGGATATATTATTTCCTAAACATAGCTTTAAAGCGCACTAATGTTAGCGTTACAATATAGGAGCGTCATTGAAAAAATACTCTTATTAACAGTCAACCAATCTTATTTTATATATGTGATAAATAGGATATTATATTTGTGTAGATTCAATACTAAATTTATTGAACTCGTTGAATAAAACAGTTTTATGCTCGACAAAGGTTCGCATAATATGATTTTATTCAACTCGTTCAATAAATTCATTATTAAACCTACACTCATAGAATATCCCCTATTCATTCCATGTTTGTAAAGCATTTAGATAAATTCGTTATTTTTAAACTGTTCAAAAATTTTGCTTTTTAGCCTTTTTTAGTAAATGCTTTATTATATTTTATACTCTATTCTCTGCTAGATTTATAAAGATCTGTTTCATTGTTTATTTGGAAACGCGCTATGAGTAAATGTTATTCATCTTATTAAACTTGCATAGTTTTATGTTCGTTTATTAGTCGAAATGTGGTTGAATTGGTCTGATTTAGGAAACTGTTTTTATTGTATAGATAGATATTTATTCAGGTTAAAACACACATATACATAATACTTAAGCATTCTATATAAAACTGATGACACAATTGTAATAAAATATTTCGGAAGTTTGTCAAACATAAATATCACAGACGACTCATTAAATAATAAATATAATAACTAAAAACAAAATCTAAAACTCTTTCTTTCCTATGACTAGATATCAATTTACTAGTTTAATAAAATGTGACGACGAAAGTGGAAGCATGTATAGAGTAGTGTGTAATAACCTCGGATTGCCCATGAAAGCCCGAAGGCTTATTTCCAATGGGGTCCTTGGATATATACTTACTATAATATCCAATATAAAAAACAAAAAACATTGAAAAATACAAAACTTTGGAAACTGGAAGATGTCATTTACGTAAAATATCAAACTTTAGTATTTCCATTAACTTTGATAAAAGGAAAACAATATAAATAAGATCCATATCTATTCATACTAGTGAATTTAATTATGATTTCCTAACTGTTCTAGTAAATCGGCCTTCACTGAGCTTTTGAAATCTCCTATCTTACTAAATCTTTTTGATGCATGTAGGCAAGGAATTCCATTAATTGCTTTTTGTAAAAAAGTTACATTATCTTTCCCATAACTTCTTGGGACCCTAAAATTGTACTGATTCGCCCGAGTTGAATAAGAATGAATGTCTTTAACAGGTTTAAAATTTTCTTTCATATATGAAGGGCACTGGTTATTAGCAATTTTAAAAACATGATTAAGACGTAATTGCTTATTTCTGTTTTCTACATTTAGTAAAGACATATTAGCAAGAATAACATTATTGACACTATCTCTGGGTCCCATACCGTGTATAAATCTAACAATTTTATTTTAACAAATTAGAAGCTTATTTTTAAATCAGACTCGGGTACCATGAAGAACATGCATAATCAAGGTGACATTGTATTAATGCTGGGCATAAATATTTTCTAGTCCTAAAATCTAAAACATTTGCTTGCCTATACAAAAACTTAAGACATGAATTCACCTTTGTAAGAATACTATTAACAATAGATTCACCTGACAAAGAATCATCAATATTTAAACCTAGATATTTGTCAGATTTTGTGGATTCAATAGTATGTCTATTACAAACAATTTTAAACTCTTAAACTTGTTTTAGTTTACGTTTGGAACCAAAAATAAGACATTCAGTTTTTCCTAGATGAAGTGACAGCATCTATTTATATATATTATATAGATAGATGATTGTCGCTGGTGTAATGTTTTTCTTTTCTTGTGCCAGTTTTACTATGAATATAATTATAATGTTAAGTTTAACATTTTTAATGTGTATTATTATTTAGAGTAAGGACGAAATTCCAAGAGGGCAGCAGTTGTATTTAAAGTACAATTCATTATTTGATAAAGCTGTGCCGTTGACAATCAAAGCCTATATACGACATATTGTACAAAAAAGAGAACAATCTCTTAATACTATTCTTACAAACAGAAAAGAGGACATTAAAACTTTTTACAGTGATTTGTACAAGGTACTGTTTAATGATAACAATGACAATTTTGACGCGCAAATAGAGTCATGGCGATTATCAACTCTCTGTGATGTTGCTTTTGCACTAACTGACAATTCACAGTTTGATTGTATTAAATGCATCTTAGACCAAATACTCGATCTTGAAAACTATGCAGTGAAAAGTCATATGGACTATTGTATATTCGAGCATAAATGGAAAGGTTTAACGAAGTCATTACTCACACTTTGCACAGATACAGACGCCAACCTTAAGTGCAAAACTTTGATTTATTCTTTTGACGAATCAAAGGAAATTCAGGTCAGCAAAGAACTTCAAATTGTATCTGAATATGATGTACATACAGAATGTAAATCAGAAAATTACATGCTTAGTGATGTGGGTGAGTACTTATATGTTAGATATTTTAAATATAAATGTGTCATCTTGATTAGTTAAAAACAGCTCATATGATTAATAAATTCACATGCTGCTTTGTTGATAATAAGTTATTGTAATATTCTGAATGTCAACCTATAATATAATAACTGAACGTGTTACCCAGTGGTTATCTTTACCTGTCTACGTCCAGCGGATAATATACATAACAAGTGGTAAGCCATCATCATTAGATACTTGTATTACAGTTATCATATTGTCCCTTATATTCAGGTAGTACTTGTGTAAGGAATACATAAAAATGAAAAAAATATATAAAAAACGAAATTTGATGATAAGAATATTCAGAAAACAGTGTTTTTGAAGAAGCGCAGAAAAATGCGTTCGTAAATAAGATGACGTCAGACGTTCAACGGCTACACTCACGCTGCCCAATAATTATAAATCAAGAATATAGTCATCATAGCAGTGTTACGTTAAAGTATTTGTTAACTAATGCATGTTTAGTTGAGAATAATACCATAAAGAACAAAACGCAATAAACAATAATATGCACATTGGTAGTTAAAACTTTTCTTGATGAAGTCATACATTTTTATTTGTGCGTGTTTCAGTTGTTCACAATAAATACGGCATAGCATACAATGTGCTTAAACCAATTAGATTTCGAGAAATATATTTCATTATTACATGTATAAGTTATATAAAAATCACTGTTAAGTTCGCTTCCTAGATATAAGCAGTATTGATATCATATGACGAACACAGTAGGGCTGTTTAAGCCACGATTTCAGGCTTGACAGGTGGACGTCATAACCATTTTGTACACATTCCTTTTATTGCTTGATATTCTTAAATTATTTTGCAGAATTTAAATTACAACTCGCAGACATAGTAGTAAACGTTGGCGAATCAGTTATCCTTTTTTGTGAGCTTAACAAAGACGAATTGCAAGTTATTTGGGCAAAAGATGGTGACATTCTCACAAACACGAAAAGCGTCCATATTTTAGCGAACAAAGGCACACATGTTCTACTAATTCCAAAAGCAACGACTGAACACAGTGGCAAATATACCTGTGGATATTTAGATCTGTCCACATCAGCTTCCGTTATAGTTTCAAGTATGTCAGTTAAATTGCCTTATCCTTAACAGCGCAACATGATCTTTTGTATGTGATCAACAAAAATCAGTTACCACACAAATTCTTGTTATTATGTTAGACTTGCAGTGAATGAAACTTTTAAACGCCCGAAATATTCGGCATATATCCTTATGTCGTCCGTCCTTAAATACTAGAGTCCGTTATGGGATAACAATCCGTGTTCTTTTCATACAGACTTGTACTTGTGGGTGGTCAAGGTCCCAATCAGTAATCATAATGCATTGTTCTATTAATTTAAACAGTTCGTGTCCAATCTCTTGAAGCGATAGAAAGACGACGTTGTGCAGAATGCTGAATTTGCCTTTAGTAAAGACATTATTTGCATGCAACTACTAGACCTATGGCTTAGATATATACAACTGCGTTGTTCACCAGTGCAAAATAAGTAGTAATCATGCCCCTTGGGTCAATATTGGCCCCATTCCGGTGTCATTTTTTTATATATAAACTGATATCGGAAAAATATATGTCTCCTTGTGTAACACTACAATGCCAAGAGTTTAGATATTCGCGTGTAACATTATCACTGTTGTACAGCGTCCACCGGATATAGCCCATAAAAACACCGTAAACGAAAGTAGAAAGCTTCACACCGAGTATACCCAAGGTAATGTTTTAACTTATTTCTTCATCATAACTTCATCGTTTTTTCCAACTTAAACAATATTGTGAAGCTAAATATGTCTAGTTTTAGAGCAGTGTTTGCTTTTGTCTGCAAATTTAATACTTTTGTTAAATTGGTGATAAATTGTAGCGAATTTGTTGACATTTGCGAACGATGTTGATATTTACCACTAAATCCAGCCCAAAACTAATTTGCTGTATCGAATTCCGCCGTTAATACAGACTATAGTCTTACCTCTACTTATATTTGAGTTATAACCCTTTAACTCGAGCTGCTTTTAACAACATTTGCGAAAAACGGCCTTGCCTTGTGTACAGAGTCTAGCACGGATGTGTACGGGGTGTAGATGGAAAACTGTTGGCGATTGTACGGGGTGTAGTAGGTTAATAAATGTCATTTTCTGCAGAATAAACTCAGTACCAGAGCATATACACGTACGCTGATAAAGAAAACGATTAATGTCGGGAGCAGGGATGGTGAAGTGAATGATTTTAATTTTATAAAAGATAAAAATGTTTCACTAAATTGTAAACATGTTACGCAACATGTATATTGATTGCAGTAATTTAAACAGTTTCCGTCCTTCTATACAACTTTTTATTCGTGAATATAAGTTAATAGGAAAATCGTAAAACTCAAAAGACCACAATTTCATTCCATATTGAACATTATATACACCAAATTTAAACAATTCCAAACCATGTTCGTGTTATGCATTGTGAACTAAACTTGATATTGGGTTATTATTTCACTGGTCTTAAGATTTCATTGAAAAACAAACATATGTTAATGAACTTTGGTAAAATATCCGCCTTGATTAGTGAGTGACCTCACTTGTGATTTCGATATTGTTTAATCAATACAATACTGCCGCTTATGTTGCTGCTTTTTCTGAAAATTATAATGATAATGATGACTTATCAATGATGATGACGATGATGATACTGATGGTATTTTATGCCATTCCAATGTACAGAGTGTGTAGAGAGATATGAAACATTTAAAGAATCTATTCGGCATATTATTATCGGTATCTTTTAAGTCGACTCATAGCTTAAACATAGAAGCTTATATAAGCGGCTAAAACTGTTTTATAGAAGACAGTGCTAATGCCGTTTTGTAGAAAATTACACTCGTGCATAATCGTTTAAGAGTCTGATCAATTATCGACCTCCTTTCTTATGTGTAGGTTAGTTATACATGTATATATATATATATCCCCATTCGGACCATTTCCATTCAGCGAGTTGGTCAGAAGACTCCTCAACATGTCTGAATACCGACAGACACTATTCAGCTGATAGTTGTGATGGTATGACAATAAAAATTAAACGCAGCTATACTGTTAGGCTCAAAAACACTAATAAGTTAAATTATTTACCAAATACCTCTGTATAGTCCTCTAATCTATCCATTTTTAGTCTCAAATGAGATTATTTCCAATGAAAAATAATATAAAAGACTACACTTTAAAAAATATGTGACCGCTAGACACCGTACACATCTACTAAACCCTGTACATTAAACTACTACACCCCGTTCACTTAATTTTGTTTTCTTTGCTAGACTCTGTACACAAGGCAATGCCTTTTTTGCAAATTTTGTTAAAAGCAGCTTTAGTTGAAGGGTGTAAACTCAAACTTAAGTAGAGGGAAGACTATAGTTTGTGTTAAACGGCGAATTTTGATACAGCAAATGCGTTTTGGGCTTGATTTAGTGGTAAATATCAACATCGTTCGCATATGTCAACAAATACGCTACATTTTATCGCCAAGTTAACACAAACTATTCAATTTGCAGAAAAAAGCAAATATTGCTCTAAAACCAGAAATATTTAGCTTCACAAAATTGTTTAGTTTGGAAAGATCGATTAAGTAATGATGAAGAAATAAGTTAAAACATTACCTTGGGTATACTCGGTGTGAAGCTTTCTACTTTCGTTTTCGGTGTTTTTATGGGCTATATCCGGTGGACGCTGTACAACAGTGATTATCTTGTGGACTTCTACAAACCTTATATAAATCATGCACGTTGGGTTAATACTGGACCTGTTCATCACTTAAAACAATTTTCCACCATTGGGTTCATATAGACTTACAAGAATGATAAAGCTGAAACATTCTTTTGGTTAAGTTTATTCACCCTGGATGAACAAGTTTTGTCACGTGACCACAAATGCAAACGCCGATTTTACATTTCAACAATTACGGACCCGATTTCAGGTAATTATTTGAAGATATCTTTTTTTCTACTGCATCCACAAAATTATGACATAGACCTTAGGACCCGGCGTTAATTGAGCTTTTATTTTATGTATGTAGTAATTGCGAGGCTTCTGTGATTTTTTAGAACACTTCGACACAAATTTTCTTTTTGGTAGGCAAACGCCGATAGGGTTTACCTTTTCTAATCTTTTTTGTTCACTGGAAACCTATGTCGAGGGAAAATAATAGAAGATAAATGTTTTTACAAGTAATTTTAGTACCTAACTTATTCATAATTTCATTAGCAAGGTTATATTCGAGATAAACCCATGTTTTCTACTTGTTGTCGATTTTGCAAACGTCGTTTGATTATGTAAAATGGGCAAAAGTCGGTTGGTCATTTGAAAAATATGCAAGCGCCCGTTGATGTCTTTTTGAACGCTGAACTATATTTGTCTCATTTCCAGAGTTCTTCATCGTATTAAACAATTTCATTGCAAACTGTTTCTAATAACATTCTGGCCACCACGCCCATGGTTTCCAGATTTATTGAATCTGTCGGAAGCTCAACCGTTATGTCTTCTATTGGTTTACAAACGTGTTACAACAACCAAAATCTCAGATATGTCATCCAAATCCAGGTGTTCTGAAATTGACTGCATGGTTGCTATCGACAGACAGTTTAGAGAAAAAGGTTTTTTTTCAAAACTTCTTACAACCAGCTGGAGAACTGGTACTCAGAAAGATTACTCCAGTAAATTAAAACAATTTATGATATGGTGTCGTCAAAAGAATATTGATTCCTTCACAGCATCCTTAAATACTTGTGCTGAGTTTTTATCATATTTGTATAATTAAGGTTTACAGTAGGTTACCGCTCTATTTTATCTGCAGTTTTACCTCCAGTAGATAGCACACCTATTGGTCAATATCTGTCTGTTATCAGATAATTAAAAGTATTCAATTTAAGAACTCCTGTAACAAAGTTGTTGCCTGAATGGGATTTGCCTAAAGTTCTTAGTTCACTACAAACATTTCCTTTTGAACCTTTGAGAGAAACATCAATTGAATTTTTAAACATATGAAAGTTGTTTTTTCTTACAGCTATCCACGACATTCAGGGGAGCTAGCCACCTTCAAGCGTTAACATTAGGAGGAGCTATTTCTGTGAAGGCAGATGGGGAAACTTTTAGCAGACAAGATTTGCTAAACAGGATAGACCTGGTCATTCATCAGCAAAAATTTTTGTCCAGCTTTTAAGACCATCCAAGAAGAGCATTTGCTATCTATCTTAAAAGAACTAAATCCTTCAGACGTAAAGATTAAACAAGTATTTTTTCTGACAATTAATGTACCTCCCCTTCTAAAGCTTTCTTCACAAACTTTGGCTTCATATATTCTTAAAATTATTCAAGAGGCTTATGAAGATAAACATAAAAACGAAACAGCACATTCTACAAGAGCTTTAGGTCCAAATTCTCAACGCTGCAGATTGGTCAAAAGAAAACACCTTCGTTAAATTTTTTTTGAAACAAGTAACTCCAAGTGATCTCACTGTGTAGTTCAACGTCGCTGTATAGTTCAACCTAAGAAGATGGAATTTTTTTTCTAACATTTTTAAATCAAAGTTTATTCCCGACGGATTTTGTGTGGAATTGATTTTTTGAGCAGATGATATGGTTTTATGTATACATGTATATATGGGATATACAGAAGTTTTTATAAAAGTTTGTTATTCAAGAAGAAGAAATGTTTTAAAATAAAAAAAGGAGAAAAGAGAGAAGCCTTTTGTTTCAGGGGAATTGTAATATTTGCAACTTGACTTAAATAACCACCGGTTTATAAGAATCTTACACCGGCTGCCGGTACAGACCGGAATATCTGTCGATAGTTTTCCGCTTAATAGTTTACCTGAGAGCTAGATATTCGTCTGTACCAACAATTCGGTGTTTGATTCTTTTTCTTGCATATTACATGTCAAATATTTTCGGAACAGAAATTATGAAAACTGATTTATATATATCGCACTTTTTTCTTATAGTAGCGTATGAACATACAACTTCATTCATAAAGGAAAAATGACGTCATCCTAAGAACGCGATTCATTCATGATTAAAGGCGCATGTCAATGACGTCATTTAAAGCACGCGACTTGTCTTACATGGGGGTGTAAGACAGAGATTTCCAGCACCGGCTGCCGGTACAGACTGGAATATCTAGCTCGAGAGTAACTGTTTACAGCGGTAACGAGGCTCTGTCGAGTTTCTGCTAAACAGTTGCCAGAGAGCTAGATATTCCCGTCTGTACTGACAGCCGGAGTTTGATTCTTTTTCTTGCATGTTACAAGTCAATTATTTTCGAAACAGAAATTATGAAAACTGATATTCTCATTACGCACTTTTTTCTTATAGTAGCGTATGAACATACAACTTCATTCATAAAGGAAAAATGACGTCATCCTAAGAACGCGATTCATTCATGATTAAAGGGGCATGTCAATGACGTCATTTAAAGCACGCGACTTGTCTTACATGGGGGTGTAAGACAGAGATTTCCAGCACCGGCTGCCGGTACAGACTGGAACATCTAGCTCGAGAGTAACTGTTTACAGCGGTAACGAGGCTCTGTCGAGTTTCTGCTAAACAGTTGCCAGAGAGCTAGATATTCCCGTCTGTACTGACAGCCGGTGTTTGATTCTTTTTCTTGCATGTTACAAGTCAATTATTTTCGAAACAGAAATTATGAAAACTGATATTCTCATTACGCACTTTTTTCTTATAGTAGCGTATGAACATACAACTTCGTTCATATCGGAAAAATGACGTCATTTTAAGAACGCGATTCATTCATAAAACATTCATGGGGATGTAAGACAGAGTTTTCCAGCACAGGTGTAAATAATCCTGTCTGAGATGCAAGAAAATCCTGTCTGAGATGCAAGAAATATTATATATCTAATATATTCAACCGGCGTTTGCATATTTTACATGTTCAAACGACGTTTGCAAATTAGACAATACGGGGAATGACATGGGATTACGTCAAATATAACTTTGCTAATGGAATTATAAATGAGTTAGGGGCGGGAATGGCATGTAAAAAGACATATCCTCTATTATTTTACCTCAACATGTATTTCCAGTGAAAAAAAAATGATAGGAAAAAGTAAAACCTATCGGCGTTTGCTTTGCGAAAAAAACATTTGTGTCGAAGTGTTCTAAAAAACTACTTAAGTCTAGTAATGACTACTCACATAATATAAAAGCTTAATTTACGCCGGGTCCTAAGGTGTATGTCTTATTTTTGTGCTCGCAGTGGAAAAAAAGATATCTGCAAATATTTGCTGAAATGTTAAATTGGCGTTTGCATTTGTGGTCACGTGACAAAACTTGTTCATCCAGGGTGTTATTGCTTGGGTCTCTTTACTTATGAAAGATCGTTTTTTCTATTTCTGGGACATATTTCCATCTGAACGTATTTTGCCCTGCTTAAGCGATATTCTTGTTGAAGATTGGCTTGAAACAATATATTATCAGTGTAAAGATATCGCAGCTTCAATTGTTATTTGAAATGCATAGCGAGCGATACTTTCCAAATACCAAGTACTTATTGAACTAACAAAAGTTATTCTTTCCTATATTAGAATACCTTGTTTGTCCTGTCTTTGAATAAAAAAGGTAATAAAAGGCATTTTGTAAACCATCGTCCAAGAAGAAATTTTGACATGAATGGGCCTCTGTAAATATAAGGGCACTGTAAACATGTAAAAACCAAGAGCATCAATGACAAAACAAGGACAAGCAAGATACGCTTAAATGAGGAATGCAATTCTAAATATAGTTCATGTATCCATATAACTAGGTACATGTAATTTGCAAGATAAGATTGTACGAAAACAAATCGAGAATGAGAACAAAAACAGAACTCCAGAAAATGAGTATATTAAAAATGTTCTGATTAAAAAATATCTCTTTTGACACCACTTATGATTAGCATTTTTGTATTGACAATAAAAAGAATAATTTCTAATTCAACAGAGCAGGAACTGCATTTTGGCAAATCCTTACACATTAATGGTGACGTGGATATCAGAGAAGATATGAAAGTTTCTCTTAGTTGTACTATAAACATACCAGGCAAGATACCGCAATGGTTCCACAACGACCAAGAAATTGACGTAGAAAATGAAAACGTAACTATCATGTCGACGAAATGTGAACATACGCTTATCATACAGAATTTTGAGCTTGCTGACGAAGGAGAATATATGGTTGCGTTTGACAGATTGACATCAAAAATATCAGTCAAAATTAAAGGTATCAAATTTAAACAGTTCATAGCCATCCGTTTTATGCATGTATACAGAACTGTCATAGCAAAAGGAATTGACACATCAGATTTGTACAAATAAGTTCGAAAATTTGAAAATGATATATTTTGGGAAAAAATATATATATTGAGTGCATTGTTATTGAAATTGTGCTGGAATTTAATCTCGAAGCAATAGGCTGGAGTTATTGATTAAATACAAAGCATCGTGCAATTTTATACTATAATGCAAGGAAAATTAAATATAAAATTGATAAAAATATGTTGAACTACCTTTAGTATAGTAGTAATTTCCCTAACGTCACATGACTTGTAAGCATTATTTTGTTTTGCTATATACATCAAGTTGTCAAACCAAATAATGTGTTCCGCTCCGAACATAATAGTTTATGACTGAGCATGTTAATCGCTGATATAATTCATGTCATGCATACGATCCAATGTAATAATGATAAGTCAAGATATATCTATATGGCATCGTAGTTTGAAAAATCCAAAGAAAAAGAACAAGTTCAAAATAAAAAAAAAGTTAATATGGATTGCTTACGGCCTTGATGCTTGGTCCCATTTGGCTACTAGTCCAAATCAGATACAACAGACTGTTCTTTGTCATGTGCTGAGTTTACGTAACTTCTAGTCCCCTTTTAAAAGTCCATTCATTTACGTTTTTTTCCATTATTTTTGCGTAAAGAGCAAACACATGTTTGTTGTAAATGTCTATGAATGCTTAACAAGTTTTAACAACAATGCTGATAAAGATATTTAATGTCCGCAAGTAGTTGTACAGTATCCATATTTCTAAATGTTTATAATTTTGAACTATAATGTGTAATTGATGAATACGTATTTAAATCCAGAATCCCATTATTAGTTATTGTTTTTTGTGCCCCCACTATATGGGAGCATTTAGATTAACCCTTTCCGTCCCGTCCATCCGTCCGTCCTTCCTTCAGTTCTATTTTAGTGTCGCACGTAAGGATTGTTGCTCAACATCTGTAGCTATGCACCTGGGTATTTTCGTGTGGACATTTTTAGTATTTTTAGATTTATTGCCCTTGCTTAGTAAAAATTTAGAATATTCAACTTGTGTTGCACGTAACTCAAAAAGTATTTGACCTGTAGGCCCCAAAGGTTTTCAAGAATGTTGGTCAACATGTGTACTTATGCACCCTGGGGTTTTCTTGTGGATTTATTCAGTATTTGTAGTATATGCCCTTTACTTAATGAACAATTTTTCGTTTTAACTTGGGCACATGTAGTCAAAAAAAATTGACCTTAGAGACATTAGATTTACCAATCGGTGGAGTGTAGGAGCACCTGTGTCCTATGGACACATTTCTAGTTATTCCCTCAAATTGTAGATAAAAAGTAACGTTTTATTATCAAATATAGCAGAAACAATACAGAATTCATCATTTTTCAGACACATCAGGTCCTAAAGCTCTTATCATACAGAAACAAATAAAGGAAGAATTGTTTAAATACTGGATGCGAGGAGTGCTTGGCCTCAAATATCTTAAAGTTGGACTGGAGTCACAAGCCGAAAAAGCTGTCACTTCCCATCATGTTCAGATTGTAAAGGATTTTCCATCATCGATGAAAAAATGTACAGAATGTAATTGCGAAAATCTCCTACCATTGCACTCAAAAAGACAATGTCCAACAAAGCAGAGGAATAGACGAAAATGTCCAAATAATGATCAATGTAGCAAAATTTATGACTTGATAGTCCAGGACCACCGCTTCAAGGACCCGGCCTTGAAAAACAGCAGTATGGATAAATGGAGAACTGATGCATGGAGTATCGCAGCTTGTTACATAAGTCATGAAGTCCATACATTAGAATATAGACGTAAAGAATCAGCAAAAGAATTGGATTGTGCACAGCTGCTCACTTTGTTTGTCAACAACAAAGCATACCTTCCAGGCACAAATTATGGCTTGTTTCAAATGGTAAGAACTTAACTTAGTCGTTATTCATTTACTTCTTTTAAAAGTGTTTGGAGAATAGTCATATTTTGTTTATGTTTTCTAACAATTCTTTTGACATTTTAAGGCAAGAAGGCATAGAAACGAATTGCTGCATAATGCGAGCTACGAGATTACCGAAGCCAAGCTGAGTGAATACTTAACGGATTTTCAAGCTGTTTTGAAGATCACAGATAATTCAAATCAAAGGGTTTTTAAACAAGATGAAGTCGAACAATCATTAGAAGCCCTTATTGAAGTAAGTGTTCATTGTAGTATTTGAGCTACATTGTTCAAGTCACTATTGTCTACTTAATAAACATTTCATTTAAATCGCTGTAGAAAACGTACATCAAATAGTTATCTTTGGTAAACATTGCGCTTTTTATCCTTCAGTTAAAAATATTTAGTAATAATTTCTTAATAAGCAAAGAAAAAAAGTTTTAAAGAATATTTTTTTGTCAATCTACAAAATACGTCTAAGTTACATATTCTCTGATTAAGTGATAATAGTGAAATATTGTATGTTTGATTCACGGTTTATACTGCGTCTTCGTTACTGATTTTTTATTCTTTTTTTCCTTAATGTTGGTTTCCCTACGGAAAAAACAATAATCAATCGATCGTCATTTGTAGGTGATTAGTACGAATGTGTTTTGAAAAAGATAATGGTTTTATTGGAACTCTGAATACACTGTACACTAAGGTTATATTTGTCTACATAAAACGGTGAATTTAAAGTTTTATAACTTACATTATGATCAACAAATTATTAAAATCGTCAGAAGCAACAACATCATCAACATCCCTCTCATCATCGTCACCACCACCGCTATCTCTAAGTCATCGTAACCTGCATATGACCACCACAGCAACATTTTTATCATCATTACGATAAGCATCACAATCAAAAAGACATTGAAATCATGTACTGCTAAACATTGGTGTTATTGAAGTGGCACCAACGGCTATAATAACCCAACAACTGTGATCATTATGTTACATAACTGGCAATTAAATTCGGGTAACAACTTATCACTTCCAAGTTCTGCAACGGCCTGTAAGTACTGAAATGTTTTGTAGCGTTTACCCTGTTTCATTACGGCTAATCACGTTATTCATCCAAATTGAAGCTGCCATGACAAATACACAGCAAGAACGGTAGGTAAGACGGTAACGTTTTCAATCCCGCCCCTCCCCGTAATCTTCTAATCATTCCGGTGTTTTGCATGACAGCATTAAGCGTGATTAGCGAACGAGGTGGAATCATATCATTAATCATTTGCTGGAACATTTTTTTATAGTAAAAGCATGCTTAAACTTATTATGTGAGATGTACAAGTACATAATAACGTATTATAATTATAACAATAAAGCTTTGCTCTTATTATTTATAATAATATTTTCTATGGTTTTAAGTGTGACTTGAGATTTTAGTTTTATTGTGTGTACTATCAAACTAGCTGCAAACTGTAAAAATTGAAAAATAATTTATTGGCCAGCTGATATATAAATATTTTAAAGAATCAATAACTTGAATAAATGTGTTGTACAATAGCATTTAAACCAATTGTATGGAAACCAACTGTATCATCTTCCAGATATGGTGACAAGATTTTGTATACTTGTTGTTAATAGGGGAGATAATATTTACTTGTCAACAACTCCGCTGGTATTATTACCTGCCAGAAACGTTAATTATTTGTAAAAAAATGTTAACTGTATCAAAATAACGACATCACTTCAACATATCCGAAGGATTATACAGTTGGTTTCCATACACTTATTCCGATGAAGCATTTTTATATGAGATTTATTCATCTTCATTCATCGCATTCTTGTTATTGTTAAAATCAAACAATGCTGGGTTATATTTTGGTAGCACCTAACAATAGACGTTCGTTAATACAATTTTTTATATTTTTACAGTTACAAAACAATGAAATTGATATTAACACAAAGGAAGAAATCGCAAAAATGAAGAAAGATATTCGAGATGCGGCCATGAATGAAGCTGCAACACAACTTGAATCTGCCTTGCGTCAGGTAAATAAGGGCCACTGATAGAATAATATTTTTAATGAATATGCATTATATTGTTAGATGACTATTTTGATTACAAGAAAAAAATCAAAAGAGAAAAAGAGAAAGAAGCATAACCGATGCAAATTATAAGTACATATATATAATATGACATTACGCTGAAAATCATGCATTGGATCATTTATTTGATGAGATAAAGTTTCTGTTATATGTCATTAAATATATCAGTATCAGACGTAAAAGTTTTAAAAAAATCGGAATTAAGATAATTGATGTATGAAATATATGAAATGATACTGCTTCTATTTATAGAAAGATGAAGAATTCCGGATCTTGCAAGAAAAGATAATAGGTTTGTATAATTATTCTATTTTTAACTCTTGAATGGACTTTCTAGAAAAATTATCTGTGATATCTAAAGTCATTTGTCCGTGAGTGTTTACAAGGCTTGTTAGATAAAAGTAGATTTCGCTTTTTTTTTGTTTCCAACGGTAGGCAAATTGTAACTGACAATTTGGTAAACAAATTAAATGAATTGTCTGTCAGGGCCAACATCCAATGGTTTATAAAATTCATACCAATTTTAATAATAATAAACAATAATTTTATCAAGAAATAATTTCACACATACGAATGCTTTACACATATGAAACTTTCAAATCTGTACCTGTTGCATCAAAACCGAAATATTTACATGTCAGAAAATAGTGGGCAAGTATCTAGAAAAATAAAAACTTCCATACGAAAACGTCACATATTTTACCGTTTATGAAGATAGAAAAGGAAAATAGTTTTTCCTTTAATTTATATAGACAGAATAAACCGAAAGATTGCAAATAAATCATGGCGAACTATGAGTAACGTTCACATTAAAAAAAACATTATATAATTTAGCTGTGAAGGTCTTGCTTAATCTTTTGACACGGTTTCATCCATCTTCTTAGAACATTATTTTCATATGCAGTCTTAAGATTGCACCTTTGTTTTATATATATATATATATATATATATATATATATATATATATATATATATATATATATATATATATATATATATATATATATATATATATGTATGTATGTATATATAATATATATATATTATATATATATATATATATTATATATATATATATATATGTATGTATGTATGTATATATATTATTTTCAACAATCTATATTTCATTTCTATTTTTGTGCTAATGGGTATGATATATTGTCAGGGTGCTAGTTTCCATTTGATTAACATCGAATAATTCCATGATACCTGTACAAACATATTTTCTAAAATGAGCAACACTTATTTTATTGAGGCAAAATCACAATACATGTCGTCTTTCTGTGCTAAGTTCTGTTTCCTTTTGAGTAATAGTCAATGCCTGCAGTATTATGTATTGCGAAACAAATAGCTATTGACCACGCACATGTCAACCATCTGATTAGTGATTTACTCCGAAATGTCGATTTAAAAGAAATTAATTAAGAAAATTGGCCTTCAACCAAAATACTTAAATGCACATTTTGACTCTCCGTGACATTGCCTTGAAGTGAATTGGTCTACAATTGAAGTATTGTAATATCATGTTGCTAGTATTTAGAATCATACTTGACAACAGGCCATGATTAAATTATTAAGATACATAAGACCTTATATCTATATTTAGCAGATAATTGTTCCAGAACAAAATATTATTCTGCATCATAAAAATCTGAGAAACAAAAGATACTTTGGGTTTGTATACCTCATTGCCCTTCATGCTAACAAACCTTATTCAAGAATTGAGGTATGTGCATAAATATTTCCGCGACAACCCATTAATGAAAGGACATTTAAACAACAGACTGTCAGATAGATTCGAATAAGTTCGTACGTTCTGGAAACTTTAAACACAACAAAATTTTAAAATGTTGCAGGTTCAATTTAGTTAAGCCTGTTTATAGATCGTAGTAGTAAATGAAAACTACCTTCATGTCCCATAGCAATAGCTTTTTAGTAGAATCAACCTATTAGATTTGAGAGAAATGTTAATAATTTACCATTAGAAGATGTGTTCAAAAGGCTAATATCATGTTAAAATATATGTGACAATTAAGTATGTAATATTTACATAAAAGTAAGAAATATTACATACCTTACGATTAACGCAAATAAAAGCATATGTCGTGCCTTGAGGGTACCTATGTGTAAAAAATGAGAGGGTGCCTGCGATATAAAAATTCAAATGAAGAGAGGTAGCCCGTGCTGCTGCAAAACCGAAAGTAGGGTGTTTTTATGAATTTTACAATTATTTTTGACAATATACTGCCATTTGTCCGAAGATGATATGTAAATGAACATACTAAATATGTATGATGCATATATAATCAAGCCACAGGTTCATTTCAGCCCAAAAAGTATGTCGAGGTGATGGGTGAAGCAAGACTTGTCGATTTTTTTGTAGGTTATTGTGAAGTTGTGGTACATGAAAAACGGGCACATGACAAATCAGCACATAGATAAAACATTCTAGTGTTCCGTGGTATACATCTTTTCTACGTGTCATACCTTCTTTCCTTATTATATTGAAATTTTACTGGATTGTTATCCATTGCTGGTTTGTTTTTAGCAGAGAGTGGCCTGTGCATGTGCAAAGAGGGTGCCGTTTCAGCAGATTTCGCAAAGAGGGTACCGATATGGATATGCACCGTGGAGCGGATACATTTTTTTCATGCCACGAAAACATATGTGTTGCCCAATATTTGGCTTATTGTCGCCTTTAAACTTTACTTTTATCACACTATACTGTGCAGTTCATGGATTTCACTCTTTGATTACTTTTATTATGTCCAGTTTTCGTAGTTGATTGGGGTGTTCACGTTACAACGACAAAAATAAATGAAATGAAAATATAAAAGATTAAAGAGAAGCACAAAACGAATAAAATATATATTTCTTGTTATGTCGCATTTTCCTATAGTATCCTTCTCGGCTGCAACAAAACAAAATAATAAAAATAGCGGCAATCAATCAGCCACCATACAAAATCAAATTTTATAGTTAGTAATTAAATTACAACTTATGCCTAATCAAAGATTTCAGAAAATTGATTTGAAATTGAAAAATTATAAAAATACTAATAAAGAGCTTTAAGATAATGAATTATATACAAACAAACTATGGTGTCTGATTTCTTCCATTTTGTTATTTTATATTGTTGCAGATGAAGAGGCAACAATGGGAAAGAGTGACAAAACAAGAAACATAGTTTATTTGTTTTGTCGCACACTTTTCATCGTATTGGTGTTTTAGTAACGGTGTCCTTCGACCACCACAACATGATATTACAAAAAAAAATCCCCAATATTTGGCATATTGTCGCCCTCAAATTTGCCTTTTATCATACCACACTGTGCATTCCACCGATGTTTTCCTCTGATAACATTTATTTTTTCAAGTTTTCGCAGTGAAGGGCATGTTCACGTATTTACAACGAAAGATGAAAAAAGTATAAAAAATGAACAGCTTTACGATGATGATTTATTTAATGCTTTTCAGTGGTTTACTGATTTATCCGTGAACATTATATTTGATAATTTCACAATGAAAATTATCAAACTATAATTTCACACTTGTCAATGATGAGACTACTTTTTTTAAGATTTTCCCTATGTGGTACCTTAATTTTATTATTGTTGACAATTTTGACATTGTCAGGGCTGTTTAGAGAAAAGCAATGTTTCCGAGGGACAATTTGTTTCTAAAGTTTTGTATAGATTACACTTTCTAAATTGTTTGAGAGGGTTGTTTATGACAAGGTAGAGTCCTATTTTAAATTAAATAAGTTGTTCTATAAATTTCAATCACGCTTCAGACATTGCTGTTAAACAGACACGTGTCTTATTCATTTATCATACTATAAAATAATGCAAATGGATAAAGGTAACTGTATTAGGCATCCGATACTGTAGACGACCTTACACTTTTTATGAAATGATATATGCGGCTGATCTTGGTGATGATATTTTTAGATGGTTCCGATCTTATCATTCTGATAGAAAGCAGCTTGTTGATGTTATAGTTACACATTAGAGTGCTGCTAAAGTAACATGTATTGTTCGCTCCGTACATTCAATCAGAGAGGTTATATTTTCGATCCTTAAAGATCGTTCAGCACGACATTATTGTTGTGCTTGTGGTAATTGATTTCTGTCTTTTCGGCTATTTTCTTGTTGGGTGGTTCCAGTATTCCTCACTTGAATGCTGTTGACTAAATCTTAGACAAAAGACAAATTTACAAAGCAGGCCACATATCCTAGAGGTGATTCAACAGTATTCAAGTGAGGAATACTGGAACCACCCATCGAGAAAATAGCCGAATAGAAAGAATTAAATTACCACAAGTACAACAATAATGTCTTGCTTAAAGATCGGAAATATAACATCTCTGATTGAATGTACGTAGCGACTTTTTTCAGCCTCAAAACGGCACAAACAACGCTGATGTGGCGATAAAATAGAAAATAAGAATCCCTTAAGAAAGCCCAACACAGCAAAATTGAAAAAGTTGCAGGCTCGGTTTGATTGAGCTTGTTCATGGACGGAACTGTCAAGTGCAAACTACCGCCCACGCCCCCTAGCACCGGCTTAAGCATAATTCAACATTTAGACATGAACTGGTACAATTTTGAATTAAGATGTGTTCATACGGCGGTTATCAATGTGACACTTCCGTGCTATTCCATTAAAAGCGGCGTATGGTCACCAATAATAGAAAGCGCGTGCCCTAAACGAGAAAACAATGGCTGGAACTAAATAAAATGGAATTTTGAAAGGGGATCAGAAGTTATGAAGCTTGCATATCACAGATAAGACGTCAAAAGACAAATTTAAAAAACAGGCCACATATCCTAGGGGTGATTCAATAGTATTCAAGTGAGGAATATTGGAACCACCCATCAAGGAAATAGCCGAATAGGGTCATATTCAAGTCATATTGTTTTTGTTTCTTCTCTTACTTAGTTCTTATCTTGCACGACATAGTATCTCGTGGCCACGACTTAGCTATCTGGTGGCCACGACTTAGTAACTCGTGGCCACGTGGGAACGAGATAGCTAAGCCGTAGCCACAAGATACTTTGTCGTGGCCACGAGTTACTAAGTCGTGGTCTCGAGATACTATGTCGTGGCCACGAGATAGCTAAGTCGTGGCCACGAGATACTATGTCTTGGCTACGAGTTACAAAATCGTAGCCACGAGATTTTATGTCGCGGCCAGAGGTAGCTTAGTCGTGGCCACGAGATACTATGTCGTGGCCACGAGTTATTAAGTCGTAGCCACGAGATAGCTAAGTCGTGGTCACGAGAAACTAT